GCCTAAACTATGATTAGTTCCGGCCGTCATCCACCAGCCTTGTGTCTTTAATTATGTATTGTGTCACGAATTGTCTTGAATTACGTCTTACGTCACGAATTGCCGTTACGTCTTGCGTCACGAATTGAGTTCTACATCTCTTGCATCATAAATTGTGTTTAGCGTCACGCATGACACAAATTACAGCCTTTAAACCACTATAACTGTTTCGCCTTTTTATATTTAATTAATTATTATTATCTGAATTTATGTAAATCACAAAATTTTCTTAATCAACACGAAAATTTCGGGTCAGGTTCGGGTCGGTCACAGGTTTGCCTTTAAAACATTCGGGCCAAGCCCGAACCCGACCCGTTAGGAGCTTTAGGTGGAATAGAAGCTTTAATATAAAAAAAGTTTCTACTAGAAATAGAACATTTACATACTATCTACAAACCGATGGTATATGTGCTTCTGTTTACCTACAAAGGCCAAAAAAATCGGTGAAAGGAATGGTGATGATGATGAGTATGAAAAATTAGATTTGGAAGGATGTTGTTGACCCTGGAAAAAGGGATTTATTTGTTGCTGTAGATCAAAATGAAAAAGTAATTAAATGCAGCATAAAAGAATATTATGAGATGGCTGGGTTTAGGAAGGCAAGAAAAAAAAGAGAAGTTTGCATGAATAAAAATAAATACATACAAGCCATTGTCAGAGGTAAACATTTTGGTTTTTTTTAAAAGATTAATTAATTATTATTATTATTAATTCAATATTATATATTTCAGGTTTACCAACACCTTATGTTCATGGTTCCCGGGTGCAGTATCTCTCTGAAGCATTTTTTTATATGGATGATTTATTTGACTTTTATAAAGAAAAATGTTGGAGAAGGTTAAGATGGTCAAATTATATTGGTAAACAAAAGGCAATGAATAAAATCTGTAGGAAGATTGCCAATAATGAAGAGAAAACTGTTGTGGCATCTGGGTAAATATTACCTATTTTCACAATACTAATTTTTTATATTATTTAGAGAAATTAAAAAAAAAAAATTTATTTTATAATCACAGTCATGCTCCATTCTCATCAAGTTCTAAAGGACATGCTGCTGGTCCAATAAAGCAGCTAATGTGGGAGTTAAGGAAAAGATGTAGAGTAAAAATTATTAATGAATTTAGAACTAGCAGAATATGTTCCAAGTGTGAAGGGATATTTGGTAAACCTCAACAGTTTTGGACACTCCAGACATGTAGTCACATGTGCCAGACCCTCTGGAATCATGATGTTAATGCTGCCCGAAACATAAGGAACATATTTCTGTACATGAATGAGAATGAGGGAGAAAGGTCTGAAATTTTTAGGTGGAGCAGGAGTGAGGGGACTTAAATTGACCCCACTGCTGCACATGATTGTGACAGGAAAATCTTGCTGGCGCAGCAGAAGCAATGGGGGTTTCTTTTCGTCACAGTCAGCTACTACTATGGGGTGACTCCGATTTAGCATAACAAGTTTTACTTGTAATTAGTAACTATGAGTATTAACTAAACTGATCGACGTTGCTCCGATTAATTTTACGCGTATAAAATATTTAAAAATCACATGGCCAGAACCAAGAGTCTCATGCAGGAGGTAACCTGTACCTTACTGAGTTTGGCGGAAGAAAGACTATCAAATATCGTCTTTCAACATTCCTTTATTAAGCTTTAAAATTTAAAATTTATAGTGACACATACATAGTGTACCTGAATTTCATGTGACTGTTAGTATTTTTTCTTTATCAATGTTAAGTAACCAAAGAAAATAAAAAAAAATGACAATAAATATTATATTAAAATTTTCAACTGATTTTAAGGATTTACTAAGATCAAAAGAATTTTCAGACGTAATTATAGATGTTGGTGAAGATGGTGATCACAAGAAGTTTTATGTCCATTCTCTAGTTCTGAAAACTAGATCAACTTACTTTCGTACAGCATTATCGGACGATTGGGTGAAAAAACAAGGTAATATGATAATTTATAACAAACCAAACGTCACCCCAAAATTGTTTGAAATTATTCTAGAGTAAGTAAAGATATTTATTGTATCAATTTGTTGAACGGTAATATTTCACTAATACTTATAATAATAATTCACTAATAATATTTCCTTTACTAATAATAAATAATAGTTATATATATGGAAGTGATGATTTGAAATTGGATGATTTGGATATACCAGAAATAATTAGGCTACTGTTGGTATCTGATGAGCTATTTCTTAATGAACTAATGAATTTCATAGTTGATTATATGCTTTCCAAAAGAATTGAATCGCTTAAACAATATGTAAATAATATTTTTGAGATAGAGAATGGACATTTAGCTTTCAAAAGATTAAAAAAATTCTATACAAATATAATTGATTGGGAACCAGAAGTGGTCTTTCGCGCCAAAGATTTTACCAAAACATCAAAAGATTTATTGATAGATTTGTTGAAAAGAGATTATTTGAATATGAACGAAATTGAAATATGGGATCATATTATTAAATGGGGGATTGAAAATACTTTTGATTCATCGTCTTCGTCGCCTCCATTACTGCTACCTTTATCATCATCGTCACCGTCATCATCATCATCATCATCATCACCTTCACTTTCACCTTCACTTTCACCTTCACTTTCGCCTTCGCCTTCGCCTTCACTTTCACCTTCACCTTCGCCTTTACCTTCATCCTCTTCATCATTGTCGCCTCCATCGTCATCGTCATCGTCATCATTGTCACCTCCGTCATCATCGTCATTATCGTCATCGTCATCATTGTCACCATCATCGTCATCATCATCATCACTGCCTTCACTTTCACCTTCATCCTCTTCAACGTCACCTTTATCCGGAAAAGATTTGGAATTATTAAAAGTAACATTGAGTGATGTAATACCACTGATAAGATTTACAAATATTGGACCGAGTGATTTTTTTATCAAGGTAAAACCATTCCAAGCAGTTTTGACGACTGAATTGTTTGATAAAATACTTGAATATCATTTAGTGGAGGCAAGTAGAGAATTTTCAACTTTGGTCAAACCTATACGTAAAAGTGTAGAATCTCTTATGATCAATAGAAAACACGTGGAATTGATTTCATGTTGGATTGACAAAAAAGAAAATTTGAGCGAGTATAACACCAGTAATTTTCCGTACAAATTGAAATTATTATTAAATGGTAATGACAAATTTTCAGCTGAAAAATTCCACAGATTGTGTGATGGGAAAGGACCAACAATAACTTTGTTGAGATTAAAGGCAACAAATGAAATAATTGGAGGCTATAATCCATTCGAATGGAAATCACCTTCAGCTCATATGTACGAGTATACAAAAGATAGTTTTCTATTTTGTATAAATGAAGAAAACATTCAAAATTCAATTGTAAGTAGAGTACAATATGGTAAATACGCAATTGGTCAAAACAAAAAATTAGGGCCGATCTTTGGTAAAGAGGGTGATGATTTGGCATTGGATTCTATTTATGATGATGGACCTGTGATGTGTAAATGTATTCAATCATGTTATGAGAAACCTATTAGAAAATACAAATATGATGATGAGGTTGCAGAATATGAAATATTTCAAGTAATTAAAAGATTTAATTAATTTAAAATTAGATGAATTTTGTATAATGATATATTTATTTATTCTTGTAATTGTATTTTTTTATTTATTAATTATTATATTATTTAATTTTTTAATTTTTTATTTATTGTTTATTATTTATTATTTATTATATAGAAATATATATATATATGAACTTTTTTTTTTTTCAATAAAAAAAGTTCAATAATTTTATTCATCATCCAAAGATGATATATCATTGCTATCATTATTGTTACTTAAATAATAATTATTATTAGCATTATTATTTTTTGGTACAATTTGAAATATCTCATAATCTTCAACAGAAAATGCATCATCGACCTTCCTGATTGCTCTGTCATAATATCTTTTTTTACACCAACATCTTTTCTCATCTTTGAAGTTATCTTCCAGAGCAAGATCCCTTCCACCAAATATCGGACCATAATAAGAATAATAATCCAAGGCATAGCTATTATTCACAACTTTGCTACGTACAGAGTTTTTTAAATCGTTATCGTCAATCGAAAATAAAAAACTTTCTGATGTTTGCCCGTATCCGCTTTTACTCCATTGTATAGGATTATACCCACCGATAATTTCATTGGTTGATTGAACTTTCAATATCACAACTGTTTTAGATTTTTCACCACATAAATCATGAAATTTTTTTGCTCTAAAACCATCCCTACTACCACGTAATAATAATTTGAAAATGTACGGATTATCTTGTGTGTTGTAAATGGTCGAAGATGCTAATTTGTCTATCCATGTGGCAATTAAGGCTGCTTGTCTCTGAGTTATTATAGTTGAAAATCTTGGAGGTAGTATTAAAGATGATTTAATTAGTCGATCTGGTATAATGAAATATTGTATTAGATCTTTGAATAGACTGGTTGGTAAAAGTTTCTCATGTGGAAAAACTTTATCAAAAAATTGGTCTGACGATAAATGAAAATATCTTATTAGAGGCAAACAATCTTGCAAAGTTTCTTTTAAATTAGCTAAATCATCAATCGATGATGTAGATTGTGATGACATGGATGACGTGGATGATGCTGAAGATGTTGATGTTGGTTTTGTGGTTTGAGATAATCCCCAATTTATCATATAATCCCATATTATAGCTTCTTCCATTCTAAGATCGTCACGTTTTAGTAGTGAGATCAGAGCTAATTCGGACAATTTTGTGAAATCTTTTGAATTAAAGATTAATTCCGGTTGTTTAGCAATAATTTCGCTACAAAAATTCTGTAGACCTTTCAGGGATTTATGCTGAAAACATGCTTTATTTATAAATACAAAATTTTCATGAAGATAATTCACATTAACCTCAAGCATATAATTTTCAACATAATTTGCCAATTCCTCAAGTCCAAAATCATCTGCAACAAATAAAATTGCTAATGACATTGATGGTTCTTCTTCTTCAATTGTAATAGATCCTCCATAAATATACCTAAAAAAAACAATCGATAGAGATAAATATATATATATTATTCTTAAATATATATAAGATTAATAAGTCACCTGATTATGATATCAAATACTTTTGGTGAAATATGATTTTTTTTAATTTCTTTAATTCCATTTAGATTCACCAATTTTCCATTAAAGTATGGAGAACGGTGACGTAGAATGATCGAGTGCGCTTTAAAAATTTTCTTTTTTTCTCCTTCACCTGTTTCAATCAAGACATTGTAATCTTCATTATCATTAAGTAGATCAGTCAAGTCGTTGGATAACCTTTCTAGAAATTGAATTGGTCTCATCAAGAAAATAATAATAACAATTGATGCTGGTTGATGATACTTTTTAGGTGGGGAGGATATATATTTTTTTTTTAGAGAAAGGATAAGCCATTTTTTTCTTTTGCTGATACATTGTCATCATCAAAAGCTCAGTCAAGTATAAGCCACAATACGTATGTCACACGCTATCAAAATTCATATTTCTATCCTTATATATAAATAATTTTCTTTATTTTTTTTTGGATTAAAAAAAATTTAATTTGAAATTTTTGTGCAACATACATACATACAATTTAAATTTTGTTATATTGTTTGTACTTTATATTTATTGGTTTTTTTTTCTTTTTGAAAGAAATGAAGCGAGAAGGGGAATATAATATAAATTGTGTTGAAAGAATTTATCAATGTCATCAATCAAAATAATCATGATATTGTGTTTATATTATCAATGCGCATACAATAGATGATATATGCAAGTCGGGAAATACAATATTAAGTTGAAGGTAGGTTAATTTTTAACTCGAACAATTGCAAATTTATTATTAAACGAATGTTATTATAAACCGTTGTACATGCCGCAATATGTCACAAGTGGATAAATTTCACGCCAAAAAACTTATTATTTTTATAAATTAGGAGCGCGTGGCATTTGCAGCAATTTTTTTCTAAATTTTTTTTATCAAACATTTAATGGTTGATTAGCATGTATTGCTAGCATCATCATCATCATCATCATATCATAATTATTCTATTATTATTATTATTATAACGAGGAGGAGGAGTTAAGGTGACTGTGGTGGTGATGTTGATGTTGAGTAATTGACAACGTTTATTTAATTATTATTTTTGTTATTATTTTGTCGTTTTTATTAATGATTATTTTTGCTAATTGTCTGAAAAGTGCAAAAAAATTTTTCAGCAAAATCTCTTATTATTAAAATAATTAAAAAATATGCAATTTATCTCCCTCACAACCAACTTCTTCAAGAGCTTACAATCTGGCATGATTACCACTGGTAAATCAAAAGTCAATGGGATTACTCTTTAAATATTCAACTAAGCTAATCAATTGATGAAGGCTTAATTAATACAAGTGATTTAAATCTTATTCTCTTTTGCCGGTGGAAGAGCTTTAAAGAGGATATAACCTCTTCATCTTCGGCCTATATCAAATAAAGAAAATATAAAGATCCCGGTCTCAAATGGCATATCAGAGATCCGGGCGATTATACTTTAATAAATATATATAAATATTCAACAAATTGGGGAAGAAAAGGTGATCGTCAAAGGTATTAGTTAAATCAAGTGGAAAAATACCCTAAATTAAAATATGACTATCGTCTCGCCATGAATCATCTCGATAAATTCTACCTGTGCATTATCAAACCATTTGAAATCAAGGCTGATACCAAAGGTCCTAAAATTTCAATGATTGACCTGGTCACATTTCCGTTTTCGCCGACATTTGCGCCATAGACCCCGCGAGTATCCTTGGTGCAAGGCGGTCATCTGCACTGAGGAATACACCAGTAAAACGTGTAGATAGTCTTTGGTTCTCCAAAGACATCTTTAGATGTACGTACATCTTGCAAATCGACCATTAATAAAGAGGCAAACGGAGCCTTTAATCTACTTTTGAAGTATTTACAATAATAGTCGCTCGCGACATTGGAGCATACACCCGAGAATCCATGTTGTAGGTTTTATACGCAAGACTTGTACGTTCAACGTAAGATAGAGATGAGTGCCTAAACTGTTTTTAGAAAAAAAAAAAAAAGTTTCGGCGCAGATCATTTAGAGGCAAAATCATTACTTATACTAATTACTATATTTCTAATTTAAAGGAATTAATTGAGCGTGATACAAAATTATTTAAAAATCACACCCATTTGTCTCTTTCTTTTCTTCTTTGGATTAATAAGGTATACATTATAAAATATTCTCCTCCATTGTTGAAAATCTTTTTTTGTGGAGAAAATTTTATTATGTTTGTTTACTATTACAATGATATAATTATTTTGAAAATAACAATTAGGTAAACAACAATTAATTAATCTACAATAAAAAATAAAACAAAAAAACGCAACATTGTTTTTATGATCAACAATGGATTATATTATATTATTTAATTTATATTTGGTTTTTTTTTGGTTACGCGACAAAAAAAATTTAATAATTTTATCATAATATATAAATGAATAAATTATTCATATATATATATATATGTGTGTCATAATATAATCATGATATTTATTTAAAATATATCAAAAAAATTTCCAAATTTAGTTTTTGCAAAAGAAAAATATATATAAAAAATCCTTGTCGTGTACGATAAAATTTTCACAGTTTTCAAAACTTTTCTTTAATTGCAAAAAAAAAAAATACATATATATATAATTTTTCAAAATGTCAACAGTAAATTTTATGAAAACATTATCAAAAGATTATATGTCAGCTTTGGACAATGAAGATTTTTGTGATGTAATTATTAAAGTTGGTGAAGGACAAGATATAAAAGAATTCCAAACTCATTCTTTTGTTTTACGAACCAGGTCACCTTACTTTCGAGCAGCTTTATCAGACATTTGGGTAAAAAAACAAGATAATCAAATAATTTTCGAAAAACCAAATATTCTTCCTGAAGTATTTGAACTCATTTTAAAGTAAGTTTTTTTTTTTTGTCCTTTTCTTTTGATTATTATTCTTTCCTCTTACACTCTTAAATTTGTAGATATATTTATGGGGGAGTGATGGATTTAAATAATTCAAAAAATATTAAAACCATAATGTACACGCTTGTAGCAGCGGATGAATTATGTCTTCCGGATCTTTTTGAGATATTACAGGAATATCTTTTGAAGAATATGGAAGAATCGTTAAAGCAAAACTTTTGCCTGGTGCACAAGATTGCAATGCAACATCAATCGTTCACAATATTACAATCATATTGTAAGTTAATAGTTAAACAAATCCCTCACATAATATTCAATTCCAAAGATTTCATCACGTTGGAAAAAGATACTTTAATAACATTATTGAAACGAGATGATTTATGCATGGAAGAAATTGAAATATGGGATTCAATCATTAAATGGGGGCTCGCTCAAATCTCATCTTCGTCATCGTCATCACCGTCACTTTCAATCACTGATTTGAAAACTTGGACTAAAGAAGATTTCAAAAATTTAGCTGCAACTTTACAACCTTGTGTGTCTTTGATCAAATTTGGTAACATTGGACCAAAAGACTTCTTTAGAAAAGTAAAGCCTTTTAAGAAAATCATTGATAAAGATTTGTTTGATGAGATTTTGGAGTTTCATCTAGTCGAGGAATCGAAACAGAACTCAACTTTATCACAATTTAAAAGAAAAGGTGTTGACTCAATACTAATTACTTTACAACATTTGGTACTAATTTCTAATTGGATAGACAATAAACATAATCACACTCAAAATAATCATAACAGCAACAATAATAAATTGTACACATTAAAAGATTTTCCCTACGAGCTCAAATTATTGTTGAGAGGTACGAGAGATGGATTCACACCAAAAATATTTCATCAAAAATGTGATCTTAAAGGTCCAACAATAACAGTGTTGAAAATTAAAGGCACAAACGAAATACTAGGTGGTTACAATCCATTAAGTTGGAAATCACCTGATAATTCTGAACATTCTAAAACAAGCGACAGTTTTATATTTTCTTTAAATAAGAAAAATCTAAACAATTCAACAATCGCACGACCAACCGATTCGGAACCTATTTATAATAATTCTGATTACGGACCATGTTTCCAATATGACTTATGTTTAGATGGTAATGATTTTAGAGAAGAGTGCCAGTGTTTGTGTACACAAGGTTGTTACGACAAACACATTAGAAAAAACAAAAACTATTTTAGTGTAGAAGAATATGAGGTGTTTCAAATAATTAGGAAAAAAAATTGATTGATCAACTCATTCATTCTTGATATTTAAAAAATTTTCAACTTGTAAAATATACACAGATAAATTTACTACATAGATAACATATTAATAGATTTTTTTATTTTCAAATTTTCTAACTTACATAAATAAGAGTTCCAATGGGGATTTTTAACAATATATATTAGAAAAATAATGTAAAGTTTAATGCACTTAGATAAATAGATAGCATTAGGAATGTTTTTTGAATATTTTTGCTCTTTTATACTGTAATTAATAATGACAGATAAATATCATATAACAGTATGTATATATGTAATTAATATTAATATGAATGATACAAAATGTATATATATAATTAATTATTAAAGAAAAATTAAAATACCCAACAAAAAAATTCCGACATCTCTTAAATCTGAAAAAGTAATAAAATAATTATTTATACAATTATTAATTATTAATTGTATCTGTATTAAATAAGTTTATTGAATCGTATTATTTATTTCTAAAAAATCTTCTCCATCACTAGGTTCAATTTTACATTCACCACCTTTACTGGAATCAAATCGAACCCTGTAAAAGTCGCCATTTGCACATATAACTGATAAAAGAAAAGAAAATTAAATCAATCGATTGAATATTTTGCTAAAATAAAATTTATATAATTCACAATTTATAATTAACCAACTAACCAATCACACTATCCTCATTTCCAAACCCACAAATACATCGACAATAACAATGATCCGGTAATTTGAAATGAGCAAATGACCACTGTGATGAAAAATATTTCGGTAAAAGTTCTTTCATAAATGAGAGACTTTTTTATTTGTTTAAACCGTAAATATAGAATAAAAGAGATTTAATATATTGATCGTTCCTCTCTTTATAAATGAGTGATAGTAATAATATACCTTGAGTGTCGATTTTCACCATCTCCACTTGAAGATATTGTTAACAATGGATTACTATGATATTGATATTAATAATAATAATTTTATTATTATTAATTGAAAATAAATCGTTAACGTCACAATCATCGTGGTCACTGTTATAATTATAATTATTACTTATTGTATTTAACTTACTTTGCTATAACTTTTTTATAATAATTTCCGTTATTTGATGAGTTCATACTATTACTGCTGCTGCTGCTATTATTAAATGTATTATCAGTTGTTGCCTCTAATTTAAAAATATGTACAGTTCCTTTATCGGATGAAACACAAAGTCGACTCGAATCTTTACTAAATGCAATACTGAATATAAAATAGTTTATTTAAATAAATAGATATTATTAAATTAATTAATAAAGGTCTTTCCCATAAACAAGATATTATATAAAATAAAACCTGTATATTTCTGCATGATCAACACCTCTTCTCAATTCATCTAATAATTTACCAGATGAAGAATCAAAAACTCTTATTAAAGTCCCCTAAATAAATAAATAAATAAAATTTCTTTTTTCTTTTTCTTTTTTAAAAAAATTTAGATTTTTTTTGCATAATTCATACATACTTTTACACTTGCACTTGCACATTTACTTCCATCCCCATTAACTGCTATACAACTTAATCCTCCTGTATGTGCTGGAATATTACTATACATTGGAATCTTAACATTTGTAGTTGTACTACCACTACCACCACCATCATTATTATTCTCTAAAGTCCTGTTATTTGATCCTTTTACATTTGTTGGCTGCAGATTATCATTCTTGTCATTAAGATTAATTTCTGAAAATAAAATAAAATTTTTAATATGTTAATAAATAAACATAAAATACATATTTTTTAAAAAATAAATAAATTTACCTTCTAACGAAGAAGAAGAAAATGAATGCCCATGAGATGGTAATGATGGAGAGGACGGACTTGATGTTACGACTGTGGAAGTACGTAAGTTATTTAAATCTACAATTTTAATATGTCCTTTGAGAGGGCCAGGAAACGCCAATATTGCATGATTTTGTAATGATGAAAGTGCCGCTAAACCTAAATATATATTACATATTATATAGATTGTAAATTATATAGATAAATATTGTATAGAATATATAGATCGTACATCATGATCATAATCATCATCGTAATTGAAATCATTACCTTTATCATTATCTATTGTGTCATAAGCAAATAATTTTTGTGGTTTAGCACTAAATTTATATATAAAAATTTTGTTTGAAAGAACTACAACAATCCTAAATAAAAAATTGTTAATATTAATATAAATAAATCCTAATAAAATTCATAATATTATTTATAATATTTCATATTCATTCTAACTTGTCTCTTTTTAACTTGACATTCTTTACTTCACTACGAAATTCCAATTCAATAATGCTTTTGCCCTTTGAATCATCCCAGATAATAACTTTATTTGGTGGATATGCCGGGTTTTTACCTCCACCAACAAGTGCCAAATAATTGCATCGAAATAACATTTCAACGATAGAAATGCCACCTTTTAAGTCTATAAGAAAAAAGGGGAAAGATTTATGTCTTTTATATTTATATTTATATATGATATTTTTAAATTTAAAAATAAATAAAATTTTGTTTGGCTTTACCTTTACGCATTTTTTCTTTTAATGGATCACAATTATAAATTCTGAAACCGGTGTTTAAGCCAGCTGCAAAACAGCCATAGTCTTGATTGAAGCCAGCATAAAGCAAATCTTTCGCATCCAATTTAGAAGAAGAAGAAGAAGGCTTTGATAAATTCATTTTTTATTTAAATTGTTTTTTAAAAAAAAAGGATTTAATTCCAAAAGAACGATATTTTTTGTTTTATTATTATTTATTATTGGGTTATTACGTAATTTTATATCACCAACAAATGTCACATGACAAATAAATAAATCATTTAATTGAGATTTGATAAAATTCTATTTCTTCTAGTGAATAGGGATTCTCTCTTTTTTTTATATCTAAATCTTTTTCATATATTTTTTCACCAAACCGATAATGCAAATAAATTTCATCATCCGGATCTTGTTTTAGGTAAAAAGCACCAAAATCTATTAAATATTTGGATTTTTGCTCACCTCCATTGAATAATGCTTCACTGGGTATTTGAACTCTACTTAGGATTGAATTTTTCATTTTCGATTCATCATCAATCTTAAAAATAAAGCTTTTATTAGTTTCAATCCAATATTCTTCATCTGGAGATTTATCCTTTACACCCCAACCAACTGGATTATATCCACCAACCAACTCTCCTGTTTCTTTAATTTTCATTACAACAACAATTTGTTCAATATTACCACATTTGCAATTGAAAATTGATCTAGAAATATTATCACGAGGTTCACGAAGAAGCAACTTGAACTCATAAGGAGTATTGTAAATATTTTCTTCTTGATTGTCAATCCAACTAGAGATAAGGCATTTGGATTCTAAGCTTAATAATGATTTTGATCTTGGCCCTTTTTGAAGCATTAGTTTTGGTTGCCATTTATCCACATTAAGGTGATATTCAAGAATTTCATTATACAAATCTTTGTTAATGATCATTTTCAATGGCTCAATTTTTTTATTAAAGTCATCATAAGAAATTTCTTTGAATCTTATCAGTGGAATCATGTCATCTAATAGAACTTTTAATTTGTTGAAATTGTCTTCATTCCATTTATAAAAATCCTTCTCACTATCTTGAGCAATTCCCCATTCAATAACATAATCCCAAATTTCTATTTCTTTTAAATCCAAATTATCTTTTTGTAAAAAAGATATAAGCAACGGTTTATCAAGAGTTGTGAAATCATCAGATTTTAATATTAATGCTGGCTCTCTATGAATCAATTCATCACAATAATTTTGAGTAAAAGTGAATGAATTACGTTGTGAAATTATATAAACATAAGCTAAATTTTGTTTGATCCATTTTTTATGTTCTTTAATCAAATAATCACCTAAGTCATTAAATATCTCATTCAAACACAATTCATCACAAGCTTCAATCAATTCAATAATTTCAAGTGGATGAAGATTATTTATGTAAATAACTCCACTATAAATATACCTTTTATATAATAAGGAAAAAATTATATTAATTAATTAATAATAACAACAACAACAATAATATTAGAATCAAGACTACTTACTCTAAAATAATTTCAAATACTTTTGGAGAAATATTTTTCATTTCAAAAATAATGATCCCGGTATTAGATCTTTTAACCCAATTACTTGACAATTCTACATTAAAATAGGAGCTTCTTGCTCTTAAAATGGCCGAATGGACATTAAATATTTTAAAGTTATGTTCCATTCCAACTGTAATTTCCATATCATGAAAATCGGATTCCTTTAAAAGTTTTGTAAAATCATTTACAAGTTTACCAACATTTTTCAGTGGTAAAGCAACATTGTTAAAATTCATAAGGTCAATAATTAATTCATTAAAGTTTTTTAAAGATATAAACAAATTGTTACTGGGCATCTTGAACGTTTTTTAATTTTTTTAAATAAATAAATAAATTTGCAATTTGCCGATCATCGTTTCAATTTAAGTTCTATTCCTTTTTAGTACATGTATTTTTACTGCGTCAGTGAGACCGTTCTGGTAACACGAAATTTTAACCCATGCAATTGTTGTTGATTGGCCAATCAAAATCATGAATTTGATAACGTAAAAATAAATGTTGGTTTGATTCATTTGTCAACAATCACTTTTACCAACAATTGTTTTAAGAAGTTGGAAGCAATCTTTGAAATAGTCTAATAAATTAAATTGTACTACTCGAAAATGTATTTAAAGGGTTGGTTTTCGACTTTGTTGAAGAATAACTCTCTTTCTAACTCTTCTCTTGACCATATCTCTCGATATAATCAAAATAACCTTAATACATGAATGTCGACGAAATAATTGTAAACACATAACAATTTAAGATATAACTCTAAAATTTAATATTAATATTAAATATTTACTAAAATTAATTAACAAACAAATCTTGGAAAGCAAGTTTTGTAAAATATACTTAAAATAGTTCTTTACCTATTACCGTATATTTTTGTATCTTGCTAAGTATTTTATCGAATTGAGTGATATTAGATTCAAAAGAAAGCCTGACTTCTATTGCACATATTGCACATAATGTTCAAAACTTATTTATATTTAGTATACTGATTTTAAATCACAATTCGTTGACGCATTTTAATAATAATATTAAATATCTCTTTACATTTCTCTTCTTTTTTGACAATTGTTATATTATTATTGCTTGCTCATATTATCTAATTATTTTAACCATTATTATTATGTAGGAATAAAATGTAAAAGAAAAATTTTAAACTACAAATATTCATAACAATATAATTATTTGCATTTTATACTTTTGCATCAAAAAATTTTATTATTTTACAACGTCATGCGACTAGTTAATTAATAATAATAATGTATTTCCGTAGTATGTTTCAATCAAGTTATAGTTAACGAATAAAATGCTTTGTAAGGAAAAAAAATGTCCATTTTTATTTGCGAGTTTATCAGTTACTTAATAATAAAAAGGTCTGTTTTTATTTGTGGCTTTACCAGTTAATAACATTCCAGAACTATAAAATCTTATTCTTAATTTCCAGATTTACAAGTGTCTCTATATTAATATAAATGACACCATGGAAAAAACCCGGATTGCTTGGTTGCTGTTTTTATTATTATGAAATAAACTGAACATTTACGGAGTGATAAAAATGATCACGGAGATATATAATGGAAATATTCTGGAGTGTCATTTTTTACAGGGGGTAATATTATTACTGGGACAATGCTTTTAAACAAAAATAAAATTGTAATAATGATCATTGAAGGATTTGTACTTTGATTTTTCAACACAAGGCAGGAGGATTATGAGAATTTATCGAATGGTTGATTTACATTATCTTTGACGCAAAACAATATCACAAAACATTGTCTTGAATGTGTAATGTTTATGATTATTATGAATAACGGTTTTTTTATGGGCGAGCGATATTAAAAGACTAATTCTATTGCTTTCTTTGGCATCTTGACAAGTTTCATAAAACGTCCTTCCGGTCTCGTGTACGAGGAAGCTAAAGGTGCTTTGAAAGTTTTCTTGAAATCATACAGAACATGCTAAATGCAAAACTCTAACATTCATCCATCTCTTAGTTAACATCAAATTTAATTTATTTATTTACCGAAAATTATTTTTTGCGTATTTTTACAGTTTAGACATTTATGGTTTCAGTGATTTATGCCTCATTGAATGGTAGTAATATTTACCAGTTATTAATCAATCATGGTAATATAAACATTAATCTCTCTCTTTCTTTTTATCATCAATACAATTCAGAACCCGGCAAAATATATTCGATAGACAAGAAGAACATCAGACAGAAAAAGTGAATTCTTGAATAGAAGAATTACGCGAAGAATGAAAATAATATAAGTGCCCGGATACTTGACATATTAATATTAATATTAGCACAAATTCGATTAAATTGCCTGCCTCATGTACATATTAATATCATTTCAGATTGCTTTGCATTATTGAGGAAGAAAAAGATGGAACGCTTTTCACGTGAAATAATTAAGATTTATTTTTTAAAAGAAAAATTATGTACAATAATAATGTAGATGTAAAAGTTCCAAAAAAAGAAATAAGAAAAATGATAAAGTTGTAATCGTAAGAGCTTTTAGTTTGTCGATTTTCGACAAACCGAATGAGATCCAAATATAAATCTCTCTTGTCTGTTAAAATAATATTACATTTAGATGTTCCAGCTCTTTCTACTGCACCATCGTTGAATTTATTTTTGGCCGGGACTACCACAATACCAATTGTATCTTCATGGCATTTGGTTAGCACTCCTTCCAATTCCCGCACGACTGCAGGACCTACAATCGATTAATTAATATAGCTATTTTCAAACATACACCAAGTCAATACTTACCGATTCCTCTTCTTTGGTCCTTACACTGGATAATAATCGGGATTCTTACAAAATTCCCAGTTATATCTACACCTCCGTCCCCTGGTCCGGGTCTAAGAAATTAAAAAAAAGAGTGAGAATTTGCATCATCATCATCAAGAACTAAAAGAAGAACGTTCACAGCAGGCCGTCCACCATACGTCAGGTCTGGATACCTGACTGGTAACTTTCGCAAGCTGTGGCCTCGATGCGCTTTCAATTCAGTAGTTCATGTATCCTATTCACCACTTCGGCCCGGAAATCACATCTATCAGACAGCCTTTCGGAAACGGAGAAGAACGTTCACAGAATGCCGTCCACCATACGCCAGGTCTAAACACCCAACTGGTAACTTTCGCAAGCTGTGGCCTCGATGCGCTTTCAATTCTCCGATTTTTACACCTAGTGGCAGCGTAACTTCGGATACATAACGACTCGACAAACTACTCAGTGATATATTTATTCACCTTATTCGATAACATTCTATGCCCACGCGACGGAGAATTCTCGAAATTTCTAACTCGAAGTTGTTACCTCTAGCAACAGATGAAGACATGATAATAATTGTTATAAATTTAAATTTAATTCTTTATATATCAATGTTTATGGGGCTGTGCAATAAAATTTGTTTAAAGATTTTCGATGCGTGCAACATGCGATTAACCAAATTCGATTAATTAATTACCTTATTTACATTCCTTGGCGTAAAGGAATAAGGAATGGTGGACTTCGAATAGTGTAACCAAATTATTTCACAATAGCCGATCGGTTACACTTATGTTCAGTGCACTTGAAATTTTGCCAGATATATATATATACTTTTAATGATGAGTGACTGCGTTGATTTTAAATAGATAATAGAATGCATATAATTTTAAAAAAATTAAAAAAAGACTAACCAACCCTTGTTAAAAGTAAATTTAATTCCATTAGGTTCAATAATTCCTCGTCTACATTATGAAAACAGATTGGAGAAGAACTCTAAACAAAATCAAAAGGTATATGTTATCTAAATCTAAATAAACATTTTTCTTATCTCCCATGAAAATTTGTATAGAAATTTATTCCCAGGGTGCAGTGTTGAACAACGCACTATCTATATCAATCAACGAAAAAAAAAACGCCATATAATAGTATCTGGGACTGAAGATGAAGCAGTTAAAAAGAATGAATAAGGTACAGTTCACACTCTATATAACGGATCTTGTTCTATGAATTATTATTGTCTATATAACAATACTCTCTACAGTCCACACACTCTCTACAACGGATCCTTCTATAATAGATCTTGCTTTATAACGGATTGAGAATTTAAGCCTAATTTATATGTCTATATATAAATTTATTATTAATATGGTGGTCCATTACGGAGAGAGTGAACTATAAATAGGAAAAAAAATTAATATATAAATATTTTCTAGATGTTAAATTAACGAATTTTAAAATTTTTAGAATGAATTATTGAACTGGTTTGGATTTTTTGCGAAAAGCAAAATTTTGGAAAGTGTGGTGGAAGTAAATACATGTCTGAGCAAATAAAACAACTTCTAAGAGATAAGAGTATATTCACTGCTGAAACAATGCTTTCAGTTCGAAAATAAAGAGTAGAAACAAGTGAGTTGGATGCAGTTGGGTTGCCAAAAATAAAAACTACGCATTTTAGTAAGGAATCAGGCGAAAAAGAATTGTATACTATTATTATTATTATTATTATTATTATTATTATGCCATAAAAAAAAAGTACGAACCAACAAACATAATTTTTTAGTTTTATGTATTTTATTACTTTGTAAATTCCGGCATTATGCGTAAAAAAAAGTTGATTTTTTATATTTTTTATATTTTTTATACCCATAAAAGATTGAAATAGTGCAAAACGGCTTGGACGACAAAAAAAATTTTTTTTTTTTTTTAAAAATGTTACAATAGAAAGTATATCAACTGATCGACCACTTACATGATGTAGATGTTCTATGAACTTCAAATAGTATTGCAGTATTGATGACACATGAACCTTGTGAAATTATATACATATATATATATATATTTTAATGTTAATGTTAATATTAATTATTAATTATTATTATTATTATTTTTCTTCTTCGTTCAACTGCACAAAAAATGAATACTTGATAAAATTTAATATGCTCGATATAATTCTCATGAATACTATATATAATACTACAATTCGTTAAATCGTCTAAGCACTATAAATCTTATAATTGGGTCATTTAAAATGGAATTTAGCAAATTAATAAATAAATTTTAAAAAATACTTGTTATATTTATTTTATTGAATTGATATTGATTTAGTTATGTAAGATTCCTTGAGGATTTTATATTAAAGGATCCATGAAATTTAAGGAATCCTTAAATTTTTTGAAAGAATCAAGGATTCCACATCATTTTAAGGGATCCCTAAGCTCAAAAGTTTCCTGATGAATTTGAGTCGACTATTTGTTCCTTCCAGTCAACAAATGATAAAATTTTGTCCATGTGATGGATGATCGATAAATTTTCTATAGCAACCTCTCTCTATAATAGCTATTTCTGAAGATTCGCCTATACATACAGTACATTTTAATTATTGAGATCGGATTTTTTAGTGTTACATTAAAAGCAGTTATATTAATATGGAATTTAAATACGAGTTTTTTATTTTTTATTTATTTATTTTATTTTTGGAAAAAATAAATTTACCAAATATGGCATTTTTCAAATCAGTAAAATAAATTTTTTTTTAAAATATGAATAAAGAAGATTTATCAAATATTTTGGAAAATGAAAATCTCATGACTTCTGTGCTTGGTGAAATTTCAGAACTTTTCAAAACCAATCAAGAAGAACTTAAATTTCAATTACTTGATTTTTTTCATGAATTATTTTCTCGTTTTACAGATGAGGTATATTTAATATATATATATATACACATGTATATCCAACTTTTTTAATTTTTAATTTTTAATTTTTAGAAATTTAATATAGTTTTTAAAGAACAAAAAAATTATAATGTGATTATTAATATCAGAGATGGGTTAAAAGATATTTTAAGTAATAAATTAGGTAATGAGGAAAGAGATAAAGCATTATCTTTGGTAATGCTTTTACTTGATCGTTTTGGTGGCAGATGGCTATTCTCACCAAATATCGATGAAGACTTTTCACATAAAAAGCTATCAAAATATCCAAAAGAAAAGGTCAATGAAGATTTTAAATTTGCTGCACTGGTGATACAATTGGCATGTGTTGAAATTAGATTACTGTTGGATGAATTGATGGATCAATATGAAATTATTGAAAATAAAGACCTTAAAGACAATAATAAAAATAGTGATGATGATAATAACAATAATAAAGGCAATAATAATAATGTCAATAATCCTTATAATAATACCAATAAACATGAAATAATGTTACCAGTATGTTACACTATTTTAGAAAAATCAATAGAATACTTTTCACAATTTGAAAATTATTTGAATTCTCAAGATGACAATGTTGAAGTTGCCATGAAATTTGATCCAGAAATATTATTAAAAATCAAAGGGATTTTAACTGAAACATTTAGAGCAATAATTGATAATTTACTTGAATTCAAAGTAAGAAATTTTTTTTTCCTTATTAATCTACATATTTGGTTATTTTAGATTCACTGATTCATTGATTCATTGGTTGATTGATATAATTTAGGAATATACAAAAAATGATGTTAAAGCAGCAATTAATGATTTTAAAATTTTAGCAAGTATACGGGTTCTTTCATCATGGTTAGCTGAAGAAAATGAATTTCAAAAAGAAGTTTCACTTCTTATGCCATTCTTAATCAATATTTGTTCTTATAGGTTTGAAACAATACATTAATAAAACCAATTTATTTATTTGACAAATAAGACTTTATGTTAATAATTATTTTATTTTGTTAATAAAAATGCAGTGAAAAGGAAAACTTGGAATTAAATCTTGTTAAAATTATGATGCCAGCTTATTTGAATCTCACATCTCAGGAAGAACCTCAAGATGCTTTTCTTTCTCATGGTGGTAGTAATTTAATAATTAATCATATACTTAATATTTGGTCTAATATCAACAGCAGTGGTAGCAATAGTGCTAGTAGTAGTAATGTTGATAATATTAATGTTAACAAAATTTATTCAAAAGATTTTGTTAATGATGTTCTTGGTCCAATACAAGTTTTATTAAATATAATTGTGTCAGAAAGAGAAAAATTTGTTATTAGAAATGAGAAAGAAATATCAAAAGTCATGAAAATATGCTTTCAAATCTTAAATCTTCTTGGTAAATATTTCTTTTTTCATGCCAAATTAAATTATGTGGTAATATTTATTTTATTTATTTATATATACAAACACACATTAATTTCATTTTGTTATTTAGACAAATCCATAAATTCATCATCATTATCATCATATTCTTCTTCTTCATTATGCAACAACAATCAAATAATCCTTTTTTCAAATATCTTATTATTTTGTTTATTGATTATAAGAAACACACCTCCATCATCAGATCAATTAATTGAAAATATTAATTTAATAGAAAATCTAAAAAACATTGCAAATAATTTTTATGGAAATATACAAAATAATAATAGTTTGATAAATGATTTACAAATTGAAGAATTAATATATTTGGGAAAACAGAATTTAGAAAATTTTTAAAATCATTCAATATTTTATCAATTCATTATCTTTGTTATTTTATAATAAAGTAATATTTACAATTTGAGAAAAGCAAAATATGGCAACCAATAATTAGGTTCTATTGTGACTTATATTTAATGTTTTGCTTAGGTTATCAATGATGATGATTGTGTGATCTAAGTGCTTGGTTATGATTAAAAAAGAAACATTCAGACCTTTAGTACACAGAGATAGAATTCATTATTAAATTTTTTTGAGATTCAAGAAAAAATGGCATGTTGCAACAAAACCAGACAAAGTGAACTTTTGGTATTACCAACAATTTCAGGGGCCAAAAATTTTTAACATCACAACTGTATTGTGATTATGATTTTTGTTTTTTGTTTCTTATATAGGATTACCTCTGCATAAAAATAATTAATATGAAACTCATCTACATCAGATCTACTATGGAACCCAAAAATTACAGCACCACTAGAAGTATTTTGAAGAAAGAACATGGTGAAAAAATTGCTCCTTATATTTTCAAGTAAATGATACTCAGACACTTGAAGCTTATCTAAGGAAAGAATATCACCTATGAAATTTACCAAGAAGAAAGAAAAATAATAAACATTAGAAAAGAGAGCAGAATGAGGATGCACAATTACAAAACAAAAGACAAAAATCTCTGGGCAAAAAATCTAACAAACTTACTGTCTATTTTTATCTTCATGAAGAGATTTCTGAAACAGATATTAATGTTTTATAATGTTTTACTCCAACCATAATTTTAGGAGCCCCTTTTTCACCGAACGAGTTGGGTCGGGTCAGTGGTTCAACCTGACCCGACTCGAACTTTTAAACAGTTGACCCAACCCAACCCATCGGGTCAACAGGTTACAGATTGAGAAAATTACAAATGTAGATATATTAATTGATTTAAATATCTACAGTACACACAATATGTTCACTATTACTGCCCTACATCATTGCTTGTTTATTTACATTAACATCAATTTTATTTTTATGATTCTTAAGATGATGACTTAAATTTGAAGTA